TGACAAGAACGTGCAGAGCGGTAATGAAGATGACAAGAACGTGCAGAGTGGTAATGAAGGTGACAAGAACGTGCAGAGCGGTAATGATGGTGACAAGAACGTGCAGATCGGTAATGATGGTGACAAGAATGTGCAGAGCGGTAATGATGGTGACAAGAATGTGCAGAGCAAGCATGGTGATAAAAAGAAAGTGCAGAGTTGTGGAATGAATTAAGTTCATGAATCAAGCTATTACAGTAATACACACGTCTATACTTACCTGCTCTGTGAAGTGGTTTTGCACAGAACAGCACCGATCCTCCTCTTCTCGGGTCCCCCATTGTGTGCTTGCTCCTGACCTCTGTGTCTACTGAGCTGCACTCTATAGACACACACAGCAGGACTTAGCCCCACCCCCCACTTCATCTTCACTGCACTTGACTGACAGCAGCAAGAGTCAATGGCTCCTGCTGCTACTCAAGCCCCTGTGTGAAGAGGAAGCGAGAGGAGAAGACATGCAGCCATACACAGCGCTGATCTCTTCTCCTCTCTCTTCCCCTTCACACAGAGAAGGGGGAGCACAGGGAACTTAAAAATGTTTTTTTTCCTTAATGCAAACAATGCATTAAGGTAAAAAAATGTTTTTGGTTTAGAATCATTTTAATCCAGAGAATGCATTAAGGTAAAAAAAACTACTTTAATGACAGTGCATACATGGTTGTGTTTTTTCTAAAGAAGAATCACATTTGTTTTTTTATTGAAAGGTGCTGGGACTCAAATGGTTGAAGAAACACTGTCACCTTGCAGGAAGTGTCAAGGCAATACTTACCTTGCTAGAAAGCCACTGTCACGTCTTCCACGTACTGTTTTCTAATACACAGTATGGATTAAAACAGTTGTACAGAATGTTGTTACCATGCAGTTATGCTGCTTGCAAATAAAAAGGATAAATACAAAATCAAAGAACACATACAGCATATAATTACTTTTGTAAATTCACAATGCTAAGGAAAAGGATACACCTGTATCAATCCTCCCTGTCCTAATGAGTAAAGGATGTCGTCTTCACAATGGAGTTACTGTAATTTGTCCCCTGACTGTACGCAAAAATGCTACACAAGGTTTTTGTTTTCTAATGCTAGCCATTCAGTGTTGATCTCTCAGTCAGTGACAACTAAACATTGGCTAATGTACAGGCTTATTGATAGGTACTCTTTGTCCTTGCAATACTATTTTGTCTTTATTTATTTTTTTTACATGTAGTAGACAAGCTGCCACCTCAGAGCTGACCGAACACTAGGCAGATATAAAAGACACAACATAATGCATTTCTGTATTCACTAATGCACCATTTAATGTATTTCATCAAATGCAAGCAATGTAAGTACCTGCCAGGGGCGGACTGACCATTTGGAAACTCAGGCACTGCCCGAGGGCCCGGGGTCAGTAGGGGGCCCCATGAGATGCCCCTGGTACCTTTTTCATAGGCTTTTTTGAATTTGGGCAAGGACACAGGGGCCCCATGATCCCGTATTGCCCGGAGGCCCCCATGAGTTGTCAGTCCGCCCCTGGTACCTGCCATTGACCAGGTATCAGACTCTTGCAGTCCTTGTACATCAGAGCTCAGAATGGGAAAGAAGCAGTACATGGAGCCAATCTGTTCATGTGCTGACAAGGAAGGAGAGTGATGAACAAACCACTGTGCTGCTTCTCCCTCACTATCCAGTCACAGACTGGAGGTACATCATGCCAGACATTTAGCCCGTTTGGTAGCAGGGAAACTTCATATATAGTAGTGGGTTTTTCTCCTATTACTTTATATGACAGGTTCCTTCCTCCGTTGTCAATGGTTGTTAAGGAAGCAGTGGATAGCAGCAATTGCCACATCCTTAGCAAACCACACACACCAAAGAGCAGGGGTCCACGAGCGCCAATACCAAACCCCATTACCTCCCCACACTGGCCGGGGGGAGCGTGGGAAAGGCGTATTGCAACCACGGCTCCCATATTTTCAAAAATTTATGTTGAGAGTCATTGCATATACTCAACATCTGTTCATTGAGCATCATAGTAGTCATACGATCCCGCACCCCCTGAAAAAGTACAAACGGACTCTTCCAGGCCTGAGCAATTGTCCTAGTGGCCGATAAAAACCTAATGCTGCATTTTTATGTGTGTTTATACACATATTTTGTTTAGATGTATATGAGTGTACACTGATTCCATTGGCTAATATATTAATTAATTCTAGCCAAAAAAATAAATGTACGTGCATATACGCATGTTTATGCTTGTTTACATGCGTATGAGCGTTAATTATACTGGAAAACTCCTCTCTGAACGCAGATTTGGGGAATTTTTTTTGCTGTTGAATACAAGTGTATTTGACACAATGTGCATATATGAATAACCTAGAGTTACTTTCAGAGGCATATTTTTTGCCAGTATGCATGAGGCCTTAGTTGTCTAACAAAAAACTCCAGCACTAGCTCTGCACGTTAGCTGCTCCTGGAGACTGAAGATCTACAGACAAAGGAAGAGGAGGAGGGTGTCCCTACTGTGGGTTATTCTGATGATTTAGTCATATGTGTGCATGTACTCCGAATTCCTGGAATTAGATTCATGATTTTCATTATTCTATAATCTTTATTAGTTGATGATATCACTGCTATTTTACATCAAAATGATAGACCTATTTAATTGTATTACTTACTATAATTGCAAACTGATCCACTGCACTTTACAAAAGGCTCAGAATAATTGATGTCCCTAAATGTAATGCCCCCCTAAGTGTAATGCCCCTAATACAGTGGTGCAAGAGTACATTCTCTGGAACCAATTTAGGAAATTGCAAGTTAATTCCAAGAATGTGTAAAATTGTGGAAAATTTCAATGAATCTATGCAAACATTGGGAAGACATAAAAACCGTGCAGACATAAAAACTCACTACAAATAGTTTTGTGACCTTGTGGGAAATAGGCCCCCAAACCCAGTGCTTTACACAATCTCGTAAATCTTTTTTAAAGGTTTCATGTTTATTTTTCTGTCTCTATTTTATCTTTGGGGTCATACTGAACTTTATAGTATCAGTTATGTAAAAAGAAAGTATTTTTTAATGAAATTCCTATGCATTACTATGTTGCCTTTTTACGACCGTAAAATAAATAATCTTATAATCTTGTTTGTTTTCAGAATGTGTTTGTTTTTTGAATTTACAAGTTTTTGCTTTTCCTTTTTAACTTGGTCCAGGAAAGTTTATTCCGTCACTGACATGTGGAGAAGCAAATTCTAATTCACTCTAGAGCAAAATAAATAATCCCAACACTTTATTTTTCTTGAGCTGCATTAGATGAACATAAAATGTAAAGGTTGGAACTAATATGATTTAAGCCCATGAGCAAATAAATAGGCTGCAGGCAAGGAATAGACAATGCTGGACAGCAATGCACAGATGAAGTTTTCACTTTCTGCCTAATAGTGAAAAAAAAACCTTTGAAGAGTAATCCAGCTTGTAGGGCAGTGAAGCAAAATAATCATCTTTGTAAATAGAATGTATTTGGCATCATATTCCCTTTTAAAGATTTTGAAGTCCAGGAGAAAAAAAATATACTAATCAAGACCAGACCTCAAATATGTTTGCAGTGGCTGGTTAGATCAGTGACTTTTTATGGCCACATGTTTTTGGCACTGCGGTCCCCCCAAGACTTTCTGAGAGTATAGTATGGTTAATAAATTAAAATGTACTTTATACTTACATGCCTACATTGGAGTGAAAGGTGATAGAAAAATAAAACAGGGGCAGCTTACCGCACATCTGGAACTTTGCCACCTTATGCTGCGCCTGTGGTTTATCTTTCATTTAAAAAATATAGGTCTGATTCTGTTACTTTTGCACTTGAGAACTTTACAAACATGAAACGCTGTGTCTGCAATGAGCAGTCATTTGGCATCAGTGTGATCAGATATTGGGGATTTGCAGAACCCCCAATGTGTAGGCATTGTTTCTTGTGGTATGCTAGGCTTTGCTTTCATTGCAATTCAACTACTGTTGGGTCCTGTTGTTAAGTTCCTTAAAGGATATATAAATCCAAGGAAAAAAATGTTATATATTGCAATTTCCTTTTTTCTTGTTATTTTTCTTTATATTTATTTGGTGATCCTGTAAGAAACCTACCTCCTGTCCTGGGTGACATTACTTACTCACTGCAATGCATCTATAGAGAAGCAGTAAACCACACGTCCCCCTTTCCTCTTCCACATAACATATGTGACGGTGTTCTGTAGGCCACAGAGAGAGAGCTAGAAACAATGCTATCTGATAAGAGTACAGCACAGGAAGTTTAGCTCACAAGATTTCTGCCAGGATTAACAGGCATTTTTGCATTTGTTGAACAGATATAACAATGGTATATTTAACACACCAAATGGGAACAAATAAAAGAAGTTAATCGGTAGGGTTGACATACACTTTAAGGGCAGAGTTTCTTGACAACCCTCTCTAGGTTTCAATTGCAAATCCCTCGGGCGGCTTGTCTGTTCTCTACTGCATGTGTGGCCTTTTTTCAGTAGACCTTAATGGAGACACCATCTAATTGTAGACAGGTTAATGAAGTGGACAGACGAGCCAACCAAGCTGGCATAGGCATGGGGCCTGTGGTCTCCAGCTTATCTAAGGTCTGTAGTTGGCAATACACTTTGGAAAGCTGTAGAGTGGCAGTTACATGCCATTTTGTTTTACGTATACTTACGTCTCCGAACTGTGGCCTTTTGCTTGTCTTTGTCTGGCCCTTGGGGCACTATTCTATCCACTGACACCAACAATGTGGCATAATTTCTGTCGCTGACACCAGCAGTGGGTCAGTATTTCTATCACTGACATCATTGAAAGGGCACAAACCCACCCACTGACACCATTGAAAGGGCACAATGCCTCTCATTGACACCAACAATGGAGCATAACTCCTTCCAGTGATACCAACGATGGGCCAATATTCCTCCCACTGTCACCAACAATGAGGCACTATTCCTCCCACTGACACCAAAGAAAGAGAACAATTCCTCCCACTAACACCAACGATGGGGCACTATTCCTCACACTGACACCAAAGAAAGGGCACAATTGCTCCCATTGACACCAAGGATGGGGCAGAATTTCTTCCATTGACACCAATGATGGGGCACTATTCCTCCCACTGACACAAACGATGGGGCTGAATTCCTTCCATTAACACCAACGATGGGGCAATATTCCTCCCACTGACACAAACGATGGGGCAGAATTCCTTCCATTGACACCAATGATGGGGCAATATTCCTCCCACTGACACAAGCGATAGGGCAGAATTCCTTCCATTGACACCAACAATGGGGCACTAGTCCTCCCACTGATAAAGATATGGCATTGTTTACACCCACTGGATGCCAGGACATTTTCTATTTCCCACTGACCCTAGTTCAACCCTCCTAAATTCTCAAGGACAGTAAATTGGCCCTATGTTTAGAAAGTTTGGAGTCCCCTGTTTTTAAGTGTTGTTTGTTATACTCCTCTATATCACCTCAATGCTGATGACATGCAAATCTATCTCTCGACCCCTCGCCTCACCCCTCCGCCCGAATCACAAGCCTACTGAACGACATATCGGACTGGATGTCGCTCCACTTCCTTAAACTGAACCTCTCCAAACCGAGCTCCTCGTCTTCCCCTCAGCCCGCACACCACCCCCCATTGACTTCTCCATCATGTCCAAACAATGTCACCATCAGGCCCGCCCCACAGGCCACAGTACTTGGTGTCATACTTGACTCCAATCTATCCTTCCAGCCCCAAGTCCAATCACTAACAAACTCATGCAGACTCCACCTCTGCAACATCGCCAAAATCCGCACACTCCTAACTCCAGAAACCACTAAACAGCTCATCCACTCCCTCATCATATCACGACTCGACTACTGCAACTCCCTCCTCACTGGCCTGCCTCGCCGCTGGCTATCCCCGCTTCAGTCAATCCTGAATACAGCATCCAGACTCATTCACCTTTCCAACCGCTCCATCTCCACCACCCCCCTCTGCCAATCCCTCCACTGGCTTTCGATTGCCCAACTGATCAAATTCAAAATCCTAACACTGACGTACAAAGCTGTCCATTATACTGCCCCAAACTACTTTACCAACCTAATATCCAAATACCACCCAATACGCACTCTCTGCTTCTCACAAGACCTCCTTCTCTCTAGTTCCCTGGTCTCCTCCTCCCATGCCCGCCTCCAGGACTTCTCCAGGGTGTCACCCATCCTCTGGAACGCCCTACCCCAATCCATCAGACTATCACCTACTCTCCTCTCCTTTAGGCGCACCATGAAAACCCACCTCTTCAGGGAAGCCTATCCCACCCACTGCTAATTGCTGACCTCCTCCACTCTTTCTACCACTCCATCCCCCACAGCCATTTCCTCCTGTACCACTATCCCCTCCCTCCTAGATTGTAAGCTCGAAAGAGCAGGGCCCTCAATCCCCTCATGTATCACATTGTATTGTTATTGTACTGTCGCATGTACTGTCTCCCATTGTAATGTACAGCGCTGAGCGAACTGTTGGCGCTTTATAAATACTGTATAATAATAATAATAAAAAAAAATAATACTCACTGTGGATCCTAGGTTTTAATCCTCTGCATTGTGTAAAAATGCTGTTTGATCCTGACTTTATCTGATTCTCCCCTTCTTCCAGTGCGCCCCTCTTATCTTCTAAGAAGACATACCTTGTGGAGACACTCGGCACATGCTCAGTTTGGTGTGTATTGCTAGAGAAGTTTTTTCTTTCTTGAAAGAGTGCATGTGATCAGCAAGGGGCCAATCAGCACTGTCCAGACAGAGGTCAGGGGTTCTGCATCCTTCTACAGCAGAAAGAAAACTCCTCCTACAAGCTTCAACCAGTGCTCTGCTGAAGTCACAAGATTGCTCTAACTGCTAATGAGAAAAGGTGTTTAGCAGTTTATATTTACTAAAATAATTGCACCTCCATGTTCTGTGTACTGTGGGAGACCAGATAGAGTGAATGCAGGGTCCTGGGTTTACTATCACTTTAAGAGTTAGCTGGTAATTTAAGCTTATGGACACTTTGTACGATATCAACAGGTATGTAAGCTACAGGATTTACACCATTTTCTGGTAAAAAGAGCTCCACACTTTAAACTAACACTGCTAAGGTATTATAACATGCCAGCATGCAAAGGGTTCTTGTGGAGAACACAGTGTGGGATGAGATGATAAGCAAGGCATAGTCAGGAGCAGTGTAGCTAAATCTGAATTAAAAAAAGGGGGAAGATATGGGCAATGCAGTTAATAGCTACCTGTTCAGGGATGCCAAATATGGGCTATATTAATATGGAAAGGAATTTTTGGAAAGTAGAGCTTGCAACTGATACAAATATTAAATTGTCAAGGAGGCATTGTGTACCAGTAAAGACCAGGAGTCACTCCTTTATTCCAAGGAATCTTGTTATGTTTGGGAGAAAGGGACAAAAGTGCGTACTATGGGAAGTCCTGAGCTGTCTGTACTGGAGACATGAGTACTAGGAAAAATAATTATGTGTTGTTGTGAGAAATTATGTATATAGCCCTACAGAACAGATAGTCCACATGTGCTTTGCTGCTTGCTTGCAAAAAGGAAACAGGAAACTCTTTTATTCAGAGCAAAGACATACTATAGAGTACACCATACCATAGATGCAGCTAAAAACTTGTAAACACTGCCATCTACTGGTTGAAGAATATATCTCTACTGAATACTGATTTAGTTGTTGCACAAAATACATGAACACTGTATTCCAACACCCCCACTCAACAACTACTCCTTATATTAGTCCCATTTTGTATCTCAGTTCTATAAATCTGTTTCTTGTAAGCAGTTTTGTCAAAGCATCTGATTCACTTTTGTTTCTCGTGGGTTGGAAGTCTTTGCATCTCTTCCCATGAATCTGGCTCTGGTTTTAGTGCTACACGAGCAACATAGAACAGACGTTTAGCTGGGATGCCTTTATTGCTTCTGGTGGATTTCCTGCTTGAAGCCTCTTGTGGCCTGGTTTCTTCCTTTAGAATGTTTGGATTGTCTGCATTAATTTCTATATCTGTGTCACTTTTGTTGCTTATCTTCATGTGACACTGGAATTTCTCTCAGTTTAGGGCGTTTGTGTTAGTTCATTAAATTTTAAACACACTGAAGCTTCATCTACAATTACACTTACACTGATGCAGTAGTGTAACTAGAACCTTCAAAGCCCAGGTGCAAGAAACCATGAAGGCCCCCCCCCTACACCTGACCGGGGCCCTTCCCACTGATCTCGGAGGCCAGGGAACAGTAGGACCTGGATAGGAAGGGGGGCATATAGAGGAACCAATGCCCTCCATTTTCCTCCTGCAGATGCTGAATGCCTGCGAGAGGGAGAGGAGGAAAAGCAGGAATTCAGCGGTTGCAGGAGGAAAATGGAGGGCATCAGTTCCTCTATATGCCAGCCCCACCACCTATCCATGTGTACAGGGGCAAAGCATGGGCTCCCTGGAGCATGGAGCTGGGTCACAATTGCGACCCCTGTAGTTATGCCTCTGGTCACATATAAACTCTATTGTAATATGGGGGGGGTGATATACAGAATATATGGGGTATAAATACACCCCCAGAATCAGTGATAGATTGGGGGGGTCATAATATACACTATATTGCCAAACATATTGGGACGGCTGCCTTTACATGCACATGAACTTTAACGGCATCTCAGTCGTAGTCAGTAGGGTTCAGTATTGAGTTGGCCCACCCTTTGCAGCTATAACAGCTTCGACTCTTCTGGGAAGGCTGTCCACAAGGTTTAGGAGTGTGTCTATAGGAATGTTTGACTATTCTTCTAGAAGTGCATTTGTAAGGTCAGGCACTGATTTCAGACGAGAAGGCCTGGCTCACAGTCTCCACTCTAATTCATCCCAAAGGTGTTTTATCAGGGTGAGGTCAGGACTCTCTGCAGGCCAATCAAGTTCCTTCACCATAAACTTCCTCATCCATGTCTTTTTGGACCTTGCTTTGTGCACGGGTGTGCAGTCATGCTGGAACAGGAAGAGGCCATCTCCAAACTGTTCCCACAAAGTTGGGAGCACAAAATTGTTCAAAGTGTTTTGGTATACTGGTGCCTTAAGTGTTCCCTTCACTGGAACTAGGAGATCAAGCCCAACCCCTGAAAAACAACCCCACACCATAATCCCCCTTCCACCAAACTTTACACTCGTCGCAATGCAGTCAGGCAAGTACCGTTCTCCTGGCAACTGCCAAACCCAGACACATCCATCAGATTGCCAGACAGAGAAGCGTGATTCGTCACTCCAGAGAACACGTGGCAGTGGCAGCATGTTTTACACCATTACATCTGATGCTTTGCATTGCACTTGGTGATGTAAGGCTTGGATGCAGCTGCTCGGTCATGAAGACCCATTCCATGAAGCTCTCTACGCACTGTTGTTGTGCTAATCTGAAGGCCACATGAAGTTTGGAAGTCTTTAGCTATTTACTCCGCAGACAGTTGGCGACTTCTGCGCACTGTGTGCTTCAGCATGTGTTGACCCTGTTCTGTCATTATACGTTGCTGTTTGAGTTGCTGTTCTTCGCAGTTGTTTCCACTTTGTTATAGTACCACTAACAGTTGAACATGGAATATATTTAGTAGCAAGGAAATTTCATGGAGGGACTTATTACACAGGTGGCAACCTATCACGGTACCACACTTGAATTCACTGAGCTCCTGAGAGTGACCTATTCTTTCACAAATGTTTGTAGAAGTAGTCTGAATGTCTAGGTGTTTGATTTTATACACCTGTGGCAATGGAGGTGATTGGAACACCTGAATCCAATGATTTGGAGGGGTATCCCAATACTTTGGAAATAGTGTATATTTATATATATATCATATATACAGTAATAAACTGACCTTCCCAACCCGGAGGTCAGTCATAGATGGTGGTCAGGTGTAATTAAAACTTTGTTGCCCCTCATGGGCTTCTCTGTCCCTTCCCTCCCTCTTCAGGGCTTGAAGTTCAGCCTTCCCTGTATTCCTTTCCCCCATTTCAGGTCCTCTTTTGCCCTCCCACTGACTGGTGTATGGCTCAGGAACAGGAGGGTGGGGTAGGCTCAGTGACAGGGAGGAAGGTTTACCAATCTCTAATACCCTCCCCATGACAGGTCCTCTTTCCCCTCCATTGACTAGTGTATGGCTCATGAACAGGAAGGTGGGGCAGGGTTACAAGTCTATAATACCCTCCGACATGACACCTCCTCTTTCCCCCTTCTCACTGACTGTATATGGCTCAGGGACAGGAGGGAAGGACGGGCTCAGGGATTAGGGCG